AAGGCAACAAGAGAAGGGCAAAAGGGAGGGCTGGGAGGAGGAGGATGAAAGGAAAAAGGGTGGGAGAGGATGGGATGGGAGGGGGGAGATTGGGGGGTTAATTAGGTTCGGTCTGAGGGAAGGAGACCCGGACAGGTTGATTCCTCAGACTCTAAGAAGCCTCTTCACCACAACAAGGAGCCCCCTTGAAGAGGGCGGCGAGAGAAATTAGAATAGAATTGTTATTAAGTATTTCTACAGTATTATTATTACATCATGGGCGAGTGCCAAATCCATAGGATCCCCACACTCCTCCCCCCCTACCACACAGAGAGGAGGAACCTTGACATGATGAGGAACATTATTAAAAGAACTTGAACTACCTTTATTTACTTAGCCCTTGTGGTTTCGCACTACTTTTTGATTATCATAATCATCCTTGACTACCATGGACTGAGCCTGAATACCTCCTTTAACAGTTATAATTATGATCCTTCAATTTGGCTTTCACCTCTTAAAAAAAGAAAAAAAATAAAAGTTTGTGGCGTAACATTCATAGAGATACAAAAACCCATAGGTGTCATAATGACCTGGGAAAATGGCAGGAAGTGGTTAGTGCTGGGAAAAGAAGAGATCTAATTCTTGGAGAAGGAAGCCTTCAACTGGGACCTATGGGCATCTATCTTCTTTAGGGAGCTGTTTTTGGAAGCATAAAACTTCAAAATCCCTACCAATGTAGCACGTCCCTCAAGGGAGTTCTTGTGCTAGTGAGGGACCTTTATCATGGCACTGGCAGCTGACTTCCCCTTTTCCTTTTCAAACAGATTCCTTTCCATTACTCTTGGTGCTGTAAGAACCCTATGACGTAATCTGCAAATCTAATACAATATTTAGTGCCACAGCTTAGGTTAAAAACAGTACTACAATAATAAGCAAGTAAACTTATTATGACATCTGTGCTTATTCCTAGTGATGTAAAACATGTCCTGACATTTTATTTTTAGCTCCTCCTTTATTACTGTGGCTTTCAGTGTTGTGTTCTTCAGGAATTTAAATTTCCTCAAGTTTAAAGTCTTATTAATATTAGATATAGTTCTTTTGCCGTATCTGCTACTGATGTCCAAGATTGGGGGCAGTCACTCGATTGTCATGCCTGTGTAGTGAGAAAGAGGACAGTTTACCATACAAGCATGAGAGAGATGGAACAAATTAACCGAAATAGACTGTTCTATTAGGAACACATTATGACAATTATTATTCATGGGGAGTGCCTCAAACCTGCATGGGGTTAAAAGAACATGAAAAAAGGGAGGCGTCAGTTTGGACCCAAAGATATGAAATAAAAATAGATCAATAACTGATAGTCAACCAGAAGAATTTTTGAATTATTATAATCAAAAAAGAAGCGTTAAGCCTCAAGGGCTTTACAGCGGCAGCAGAAATTTTTGAAAAATCAAATTTAGGTAACTGCTTCCTTAATCAGTGCTGCAGATGTTTTTCTTTTATCTAAAGTATGTTAATGCGTATATGGACAGATTTAAGCTTTTGGGAGGATCGGAGGTAGGCCCAGGCTTCAGACCAGGCATTTCTAATTGGGAGGAAGTACAGTATTGCAGGAATAAGACCTGTATTAGTGATGTACAGCAACGAAATGTGTTATATGTAGATTTACTTTGCCTTGGCTGTATAACCTTGTGGTTTAGCATTCTTTTTGATTATAAACAATAATAATTACTGTACTTGGCTTTTACATATTCACAAAACAAAAGTCATTATTGTTCATAAAATGGTAATCCTTCCTTATTGGTTACGGCCTTCTGCAAATATTATCAGCTAACCACACAAAATACCCTCAAGAATACCTCAGAATAGAACCACAATACCAGATTCCATGAGTAAACCACAACATCAAAGTGCTCCTAGTCACTAAATGTTCACATTTCATCATTTAACAACAACTAATAAAATTCACTTTGGTTCAAAATGAACATTAACTGGCAAAGAGAATTTAAAACAGAGATCAAAACATTAACTTGCATGTCCCGTTTTCCTTGACATGGTGTCTGAAACCTGGTGGGTAGGCTTCTGAATTTGGGGGCTTGGAGTATCTTTCAATCAAGCCTTTTTGCTTCCCATTCCCTGTATCTGTTAGACTGCCCACTATCAATGCGCAGAGAATTTACCTCCAACGTCATCCCGCTTGCTGCTCTCTCTTTTACCTTCCCTTCTTGTGATGGACCTCCTTTAATCGGACTCTCTCATTGACTTTTGCAACTGATTATCCACACACTTCCGATGATGTTGCCTTTAGCACTCCCCACAGCTCTTTTTACTCAATCTCTTGCTACCCTCTATCCTGGGCACTATCCATGCCCTGCTGTCCTCATAACCTAACTAATCATCCTCTTCCTTTTGCCACCTGATACTTCTCGCTTCCTGCCCTGCCCTGCAGTTGCTGTATGGCCTTGTGGTTTAGGCACTTGTTTTTTATTATAATTCCCATTCCCCTAGGTGCTGTATGACCCTAGCTTTAGTTGCTTTTCCCATCAATGCAAACATGGCTCCATATTATAGGTCTACAAATAGTTAGGTGTCCGTAGCTTGATCGCTCAACGCACTCGTCACACACTGAGGTCG